TAAATTTTACATGCTAGATTTTTTAAAATTCATTTTGGCCTTATTCAATATAATTGGTTTGTTGCTCTAAAGTCTTTCAAAAAAATAAAAAAGTATTTCCAATATTAGCCGTTATGTCACATCTCAATGAGCTCATATTAATAAAGGCCTTTGTCTCTACGTGAATTGAGAGCTTATATATGGTTGAAATAAAGTAAGAATAATAATTTTTTTGCTTATTACAAAGGGATGGTAAGATGGAGAAATTAGCTTATGCCTATGGATAAAAACTTGCATAAGCATAAGGCTTAGTTTGGGAGAGTTTTTAACAACTGTTTTTTTTTTTTTTTAAATGCTTTCAAGAAATATTTATACTATAAAGTTATTTTAGAAAGAAGTAAAAATTCTCACAAGCAAAGCTTAAACAAGAAAAAGTACTAAAATTGTGCACAATTAATTTCTTTGAATTTCAATATTACAATTGAATAGAGATAATTTCTCATGATCGAAATAGTGCTTGTATGATGATTCAGTGGAAAATAAAGCTGTGTACATGAGGCATTAGAGGAGTCATGATAGATTTGGGATATTGAAATATAAGCAATCTAGCTTATCATTATAGTTAGTTAGAAAGGCCAATCGAAAAGTTGAAAAAAAAAAAATGAATAGAATGATATTTGCATTATGATTGAACATATTGAGAACCACATGAGCTAAAAATGGATTATTGATGTTGGGTAATAGTTGATTGTGAAGTTGGTGCGGCCAAGAGCCTTTGTAGGTGAGAATTAGTACATATATAATATGCAAGGAGTGGAGATAGCTATTGTTGATTGTGACCTCACTAAAGAATTATAAGCAATTATAAAAAAAGTTGAGTTGATAACCAAATTAACATAAGTGATATAAACATGCACAATTAAATTCCTAAGAAAAGTCTCTTCAGAGACATCCGATAAAATTGGAAGCTAAAAGCCCCTGCGAAAGGATGACATGCATAAATTGAGAAATGGTCCAAGCTTTCAAGGGAAAAAAATTTTTAAGATAATTAAAGGAAATATAATAATTTTGTACAAATTTTCAATTTTTAAATATGACTTATGTGATATATACATGCACAATTAAAATCATAAAACTTATGAATTAATAATCATTTCAAAATATTTGATATAAAAATAATAAGTATATTTAACAATAAAATTATTGTGTTATATTATTTGATATAATATAATTAATAATTTCCTTGAAAAGTCAACAATGTATTCTACAAATGTGTGCATATTATTCATCGAGCCATAAGAAATATATCATTCAAATTCAATGGTCATTAAGCAACACATTTTTTTTTTTTTGGGGGGGGGGACCCCACTCACGGGCTTACACCTTGATTAAGGTGAAAATTACAAGTCCTTAAAGGGATCTAATGCTCGTTACCACTCAAAAGAGCATACAATCAAAATAAAATAAAACCTAGGAGCCAAAGATCCCACCTACTTACAATCAAAATAAAAACCTATATAAACAAAACTAGGGATGCTAGGAGCCATCACCCAAAAGAGGATTGCAAGGAATAGACGATTGAATAGCGAACCCTGTAAAAAAAGAAAACTCATCATTAACCAATAACCACATCTAAAAGAGAATAACACCGCATATGGGCTAATAACCAAACACGGACAAAACAACCAAGAACCACATCCAATAACAGGGACATAATTAATAACCGAGAACCAACACAAACCAGGCATATAATGAAAGTAGAATGCACACTTTTTGTTTCTGAAATGGTGCTACACTTTACTAATGTTAAAATCACCATCATGAGAAAGTTTAAATAAAATTTGATATTTACTATCAGTAGATATGGGAATGTTATTAATTTTATTAATCAAGTTAAGAGGAATAACATCTATAAAGGGACTAGTGGACCAAATACCATCAATGATGAAATTAGACACTTTCAAAGATGAGGTAGAATGAGAATGAAGTATGAGTCAACAGATCCAATACTCAAGCACTCATCCTGCCAAAAATAAGAAGAATCATTACGAATTCCCAATTGGATAGTAGAATCGGCCAACCACTTAATGTTACAAAGTCTTTTGTACCCCTAGGACTGAACTTACTTGAAGCAAGCAAGACTAAGATGCATATCTTTACAATACTTTTGATTCATATAATTAGCCTACAAAGACTCATTCTTTCTAAATTTTCACCAAAGTTTGATAGAAAAACATTTGATCAAGTCATAAATCGATTTACAACCAAGGCCACCCTCTAACGATGGACCTGTATAAGCATTCCAAGAAGACAAATGAATTCTTCTAGAGCCATCAGAGGAACCCCAAAAGAATTTATTGATGCATGATTATATCTAATTCGTTGCATATACTAATAGTATGATTCATCATTTGCAATAAATAAACAAGCAAAGAACAAAGAACAAAGAACACTTTTAATTAGTAAGAGTCTTGCCCCTATAGAAAGCAACTTAAACTCCCAGCAAGAAATTTTGGACACAAAAGAATCCAAAATTTTACCAATCAAAAAAGAATTTTTTTAATTGACCATTGAAAGAGGAGTTCCAAGATAGTAATAAGGCATAACTTCCCTAAAAAATACATTATAATAAGCAATGTTGTTACACTACACAAGCGACATTCTTTTATTACCAATAAAAGAGCATTTGTTGTTGTTCAAATATATGCAACTTTCTTTTTCAAATTTAGAAATGAATTTTCTAATAAGCTTAACCCCCTTTAAAGAATTGTTGTAGAAAATAATAAAATCATTAATGAAACAAAGATAGTTAATATTAATGCAACCCCAAAATTTTGAAAAGAGAATTTAGAGTTAATAGCAAAAAAATGAGACAACACCTTAGAAAGATAGTTCGTCGCTAGTACCGGCGGCTTAACATAACAAACCCACCGGTTAGGCCGCCGGTAAAAGCCGGCGGAGAAACCGCCGGCTAAACCGCCGTTAAAACCGGCGGTTTGACTGCCTGTAATCGGCATTTTTTCCTGTAGTGCTAAAGGCATCAGAGGAACCCCAAAAGAATTTATTGATAATTATATCTAATTCGTTGCATATACTAATAGTATGATTCAACATTTGCAATAAATAAATAAGCAAAGAACAAAGAACAAAGAACATTTTTAATCAGTAAGAGTCTTGCCCCTATAGAAAGCAACTTAAACTCCCAGCAAGAAATTTTAGACACAGAAGAATAAAAAATTTTACCAATCAAAAAAGAATTTTTTTTAATTGACCATTGAAAGAGGAGTTCCAAGATAGTAATAGGGCATAACTTTCCTAAAAAAATACATTATAATAAGCAATGTTGTTACACTACACAAGCCACATTCTTTTATTATGTATACCAATAAAAGAGCATTTGTTGTTGTTCAAATATATGCCACTTTATTTTTCAAATTTAGAAATGAATTTTCTAATAAGCTTAACCCCCTTTAAAGAATCGTTGTAGAAAATAATAAAATCATTAACGAAACAAAGATAGTTAATATTAATGCAACCCCAAAATTTTGAAAAGAGAATTTAGAGTTAATAGCTAAAAAGTGAGACAACCCCTTAGAAAGATAGTTAGCCACAATGATGAAAGAGGAAAAAGGGGATAACCTTGTGTAAAACCTTGAGCACCTTTAAAGAAACCAAGATAGTTGCCATTATTGTGATGGAGAACCAACAATTAACAACTAAATATTTTATAATATAGCTGCAATGGGTTTTGCCTTTTCAGCATACAATTTCCTAGTATGATTATTTTGTGCTTCTTACTGGAGGCCTGGAAGGAGCATATTGGTTCTAGGTCTCATTTTTTTTACCTTTCTGTTTAAGCAATGTTTAGCTTGTGTTTGCGGTAACAGGTATTCTGCTGGCTACTACATGAGTAAGTTTATTATTAGGGGGATCTATTGCAAGCCTGAGATCTATTTTATATTCTGGAATCTTTTTCTTATCGTTAAGTTCTGTTACTTGCTTCTTTTTTGCTCTAGTATCCTTGCAGGCCTGTTTTTCAGGTTTTTGGACCTCCGCGCTCGTTTTGTGCAGGGTACGTTTGTTGCTGGAAGGGTTGTGCTGAAAGTTATTCTTTTTTCCCTTCTTTTTTTTTTTTTTTTGACTACTAGAATGTTACTAGAATTTAATGTAATTTTTTGTAGTAGGGATCTCAGGCTCTTAGGTTCCTTTTTGTTTTTTCCTGTAGCTCTTTGGAGCATTTGTGAGCTAGAGAACCCTTTAAGGACTGTGTAACTTTTTCCCTTATTTAACGCGTAGGCCCGTAGGTGGGTTTTAACCCAAAAAAAAAAAACCTAACATCCTCATACAAATCTTTCTTAATAAAACCATTGGAGCAGCTGCAAAATCCTTATTAAGCAGTACATTTGTAGTAGAAAGAAAATAAACTGTCACTCAACACAAAGAATCATCTTACGTTTGGAAAATAAGAACACTCAACGTAGAAAGAACCATTTTACATCTTAAAAAAGCAAAACCCCAAAAACAGAACTTGATTTGAATTGATCGAAGGCGAGGTACTTTGAATTATTTTTCATGAACAAAAACAGTCGTACTATTATTATCAATGGTCGAATGGATCCAAAAACAATAACCTGAGGCGGGCGTAGAAACACGCCCAGTTCATTTCCACCACTTCTGATGATATATAAACCCTATCGCACAAAATGCTTTGTTTCATGAATATAATCTAAAATTATTTGTGTTAACGACTTTCAATGGCATGACGGGCCAATAATTATCTTTTAAATTAATTTAATGATTCTCTTAGTCTATTTTTCAGGCAATGCAACACTACTGCTATCTTGTTCATTACTCAATAGCTTCTTTATTTTCAACTCAGCTAAAATTTGAAGGTAAAGTTAAAGTTAAAAAAACTTAATTAGATAATGGTTTAACGGTCGGCTCCCTCAATCGGCAGGGTATCACACTCTTCGGGCCGTCAGAAAAAAAAAAAATTTCTTTATAAATAGGTCCTCAGCTAACCTCTCAAACAAACTGAAACAACACCAGAGAAGAGAGAGAGAGAGAGAGAGAGAGAAACGATGGGAAGGAATTCGTGCAGTTTCAAGGAAGGGCTTAACAAAGGAGCATGGACTACTGTGGAAGACAAGCTCTTGACGGCTTTCATCAATATTCATGGAGAAGGCAAATGGACGACTGTGCCCTACAAAGCAGGTGCTTATAATCATTACATTCATTTAATTTAATATATATTTATTGTTATTTTTTCCACAAATCCAAAATTTTCTTAAACAAAAGCCAGATACAAGCAATTTAAATAACAAATGAAAATACACAAAAAAATTTACAATAATACAATTAAAAAGAAGCTTTTGAGATCACCTTAGAGTTTTTTTTTTTTTTAGACATTTAGGCTTCGTTGGAGGGGCTTTTTTGTTGCTTCTTAAAACAGTTTTTAATATAAAATTTTTTTATTTTTGTACTAAAAAGCTGATTTAAGAAGCAATAAAAATGTCGTCCCAAACTAAGCCTTAGGCTTCATTTGAGATGACTTTCTTACTACTTCTTAAAATAGTTTTTTAGTATAAAAATTAAATTTTTTTCAACTACAAAGCTGCTTTAAGAAGCAGTAAAAATGCCGCCCCAAACAAAGCCTTAGGCCAATTAAGGCAGATTCACACACACATCGTATACATAATACTCGAACCTAAGATCTCTTGATTGGTAACCTAAACGTCTAACCAACATATCAAGATGAGCCGTATGCTTGATGAAGAAAGAAGGAAATGATCGAACAGCCTGGAACAAACAATAAAAAGAAATCTCAAGAGAAGGCCACCAGAAAATATAATAAATCAGTATGACTTGTTGGACCCCTCAAAATGATCAAATTAATTTGTAAGTAAAACATTTAACAGCTTAAATAACGCCAATGATTAACATTCTGGCAAATTCAACACTCTCAAGTGTTGACAATTGTATTTGTTTCTTTATATTTTGTTTTTTTTATTTTATTATCAATAATCTTTTGTTAAGAATCTACAAATTTGATGAATTAGGATTGAAAAGATCTGGGAAGAGCTGTCGGCTCCGATGGCTAAATTATCTAAGGCCCAACGTTAAACGTGGAAACTTTTCCGAGGAAGAGAACGACCTCATCATCAGGCTTCATAAGCTCCTTGGCAATAGGTGATACATATATGTTTTTCATACTTTAGAGCAAACTCTTCTTCAAAATTCTTAGGCAAAACATCATTTAGATTAGGATAAATTTAGGTTGGGATTATAAAAACTACTTTATACATATGAACAATCACAATGTTTAATGTGAAGGACTAATTCTGAAGTGACACAACAATGAAATTCTCAATTTATTAAATAAAAAATAAATGAAAAACAAGCTTAAAACATCATTAATTTGGGAGGTCATTTGGGATTACTTTATGTTTTTTTTTATTATTTTATGTTTTGTTTTGTTTTGTTCATATTTAAATATGAAACATAAATATGTTTGCCATTTTAAGAAAGTGTTTTTTTTTATTAAATATTGCACAAAATAATGATGATAGGTGGCTCTGGTGGACGACAAGTGGTGGCTGAGGTGGTTTTATTCAAAAAACAAATAGCTAAAAATTTCATAAAAAATTTTATGGTACTATTTTTAAAGAGAGTTTATTTTTTTTTTTTTTAAATGTTTTTCATTAAATCAAACATGTTAATATATTAAAAATAATCTACTTTTTTTTAATTGAATATTCAATAACTTAATTTATGCGGTGTTGGTTGATGATGTGGAGGTGGGGACTGATTAAGCAATGATATCAACGGTGGTCGAATATAATGCCGTGTCAACAACTGCTATCATAATAGTTGTACGTGCCGATTGTGATAGTTGTTTTAAAAATTCTCGAAGCAGTTAAAAAAACATGAACCATTTTTAAAAATATTTAATCTATTAAAAAAATTGAAAACATTTGAAATAAATTTCATTTAATTTTATAAAAATCAAAATAAAAAAGATAGATTATTCTAAACTGACCCTTAATATTAGAAGATCTTGTTTGCTAAGTGCTAAGAAAAAAATCATTGTTATCAAGATTGTATGATAAAAAGTGCACTTGTAGTGTGCAAGTGAAGTACAGTGGAGTTTTTAATGCTAGAATCTTGAGATAACTGAATTTAATGAAGCCTATTAATTATTAGAATACTAAAATTACCGCAAGCCAAAGTACAGTAATATATATTCACGAGCTACACTATTATTATATTTGGGGGTTCGTTATAATGGCCTTTAATGTTTATGGACAAATTGCATGAAGTGCGTCTAGGGGTGCAAATGAGTCGAGTCGAGCTCGAGCCAGGGGGTGTTCGAGTCGAGCTTGACTGCCAAATACTGAGCTCGAGCTCGAGCTCGAGCTCGAGCTTGAGTCGAGCTTGAAAGACGAGCTCGAGCTCGAATCGTCTCAGGAAACGAGTCAAGTCGAGCGGCTCGTCGAGCGGATCTCGTACGCGAATCCGGCCTCGGTTCCGCCCGCTGCACCCCTAAGTGTGTCCAAGATGATACGCAATTTCAGTTGAGAAAACATATAGCCAAGCTTACTATAAATAGTAAGGCTTTTATCAAGAGAAATCATTCATGAGAGGTGTAACCGAGTCAAGCTGGCTCGCGAGTCAGCATGGACTCGACTCAGTAATAGGCTTGACAAGTCGAGCTCGAACACGATTTCAAGCTCTAGAGCTTGCCGAGTTCGAGCTCGAATAGACTTCTGCTCGACACGTCGGCTCGACGAGCAGCTTGCAGAGGTGACCGGGCGAAAAAATGGACCTTCGGTTTAGGCGAGCGGGAGGACAAATCGAAGACATGCAAGAAAATCAAAACGAGGGAGTTTGGTCGATGGAGAAACTAGGGATGATCGATGACGGAGTTCACGTATTGCTTGACGGATGAACTCAGGACGACGGAGGTCGGAGGTTCAGAGCTCACATGCTGGTAGTGAGGATAGCTTGGTCGAGACGACGAGCTCGCGGCTTTGGCAGAGCTCAACAGGACGACGGACAATAGAGCTCAACGGTTGACATCACTCGGGACAACGTAGCACAGGATGATGCTTGACGACAGAGGTCCGGAAGGAGCTCGACGAGACGCTTGACATGAGACGAGTCAAGCTCGAGCTTGACTTTTGAACTCGGCTCGAGTTCAAACTCTAGCTCGAACTCGATATTTGGCAGTCAAGCTTGACTTGAATAGCCCTTAGCACGAGCTCGACTTGACTCGTTTGCACCCATACTACCAACAAAGGTTTTCATTACAAATTAATAATCAAATTTAGCCACAAAATTAATTTTGATTGTTTTTATGATGGAAAAAAGTGCAATGGTAAAATGTCGTTGCTTATGTTTGAAGATATTTCTTTCCTAATTCTGATATGCGACAAATACATATCATAACTTCTTCTTCTTCTTCTTCTTTTTGGTAAAAACACATATAATGGCCTGTGCGTTACTAAATAAAAAAAGTACATGTCCTTAGAGGTTCAGAAGCTCTCTAAAAAACATCATTTGAAGAAAAATCTAATGAGCTTGAGAATATATTTAATACATTAAATAAAACCAAAAAAATAAGGTAGGGAGGCAAACCGTAGATCGAAACAAACCCAAGCAAAACTTTCAAGACGGACAACACCAGCTTCCAAACTCGATCGACAACAAGAGCACCCTGGAGATCTGCATAAAATTAAGAGACTCCAAAGAAATATAAAACCAAACTGAAACAAACACGATGACACCAACCAAAAGGCAAAGAAGAAGAAATAGCAGGAAAGTGACTCGAACAATCCAAAGCAAAAGAACCCAAACACCAATAGAAGCCATACTACCAGAGGACAAGACAACATCATTATATAGCCAGATAATCACCAGAAAGCCAAAACAACAAAAAAACACTAAACAACGCAAACACAAACAAAAAAGGACAAGCCTCACTCCGAAAAAACAACCCCAGGACAAAACAATTTGACATTGGATCTACTAGATATGTCACTATAATACATGAGTTCGTAACTCTTACGTTTATTTTTCTTGCCTTTCGTATAAAGCACACAAAGAATCCCTCATTCATCACCTGAATCACACTTAAATCACTTTCTTCGAACAAACCGTCATAGAAGTCACCACAAGACCCCCCAAACTCATAATTTTCTTCAAAATTCAAACTATCCAAACAGAATGATCAATTAGATCATTCAAATTAGCCTTCCTATCACCTCCATCAATAGGTGAAAAAGGCAAAGAAATAACAAGAACCATTGAAAAAACATCTAATGTAGAATTAAAAAAATAATTACCACTATCATGGGCAAGAGGTCCCCCCTAAGGCATAGCAGTAACAACCAAAGCATTACCATTCTCAACAGCGATGACAGAAGCGATATTCCCCATAGTGATGCCAGCCCGACACTCCCCAGGATCTAAAATGATCACATTAGCAACTTGGATGATAGAGCAAATTGAAGTGGAATTTAAACTAGAATCATCAGCTATAGCATTTTCAACAGCAACACCATTAGGACTAGCTAGGATTTGAGATGGGGCTAGCTATAGGAATCACCATACAATTAGAAGTAGTATTGGCACCCATAACTTTATTAATACCATGCATGTATATTTTCAAAATCAGAAATAGCCAAAAGTAAAACATCAGGCATAGGGGTAGTCGTATTTTTTTTTTTAGGGGGAAACCCACAATAGGGGTAGTCGTATTATTACAAATTTCCTCATCATCCTGACTGACAACACCAATGAGGGTAGCATCATTAGGGGAAATTTTAACATTCTTAGAGTTCACAACAAGAGGAGAATGCAATATATGACAATTCATATTCAAATGGCCAAGAGACTTACAATGAACACATAAGGGAGGGAAGTCCCCATTTCTACATACTGAACATTCCCGAAATTTTTTGGACCAAGCCAAACTTTATCTAGATAGCATTTGGTAATATCTAACTCAACAAGAACACGAGAAATAAATGGTTGTGAACCAATCATCATGGAATTATCAATTTTTATTGGTCTACCAAACAGCAACTCCAAACCGTAAAGGATACGAGGAAAAAAGAGATGGGGATGCAAGTTTGGGAACAAAACCCAAATGAAGATAATGAGATATTCAACATTAATGTCAAATTAAAGAAGGGAGACCCTTAGATAACTTCATGCAACAGTTGTTCTTGAAATAAGAATGATGAGAGAAGATTCTACTATAGTCTAAATCCTTAACCAACTCAATAAAAACATGCTTAGGATTCAACAGAGTAAATAAAAAATTACCAACAAATTGAAGGGTTTAGGTTACATCTGTTAATTGCACTGGTGGATTTTCCATCGGTCCAATTTTACATCATTGATGTTTTTTACATTGGAGCCAACAAAAAGAACCATTAGTATTGCCCTACGTTGACAAAACTTTTAATGCAAAAAATCATCTGCATTAGGCAAAATTGTCAATTTTTTTGTTTATCTTGTTCCAAAATTTTCTTCAGTACATAGTGGGACTAATGGCTTTTTTCATTAGCCCAATTGATGGTAAAGCCTCCACTTATATAATTTTTTGTTTGAAATAAATAATTTTAGTAAATAACAACATATTATGAATTACAACTGCAGTCAAAATTCAGAATCACCTAATTAAATAAATCATATATTACATCATAATAAAAAAAGTTAAAATAGCAAATAAATACATCTAAAACTTATCAATACACTACAATTCCTCCTCACCCCTCTAATATTTTTCATTTTTGTTTCCCTATCCTGATTAGGGCTTCGTTTGGGACGGCTTTTTTACTGCTTTATAAAATGGAGTTTTAGTACAATTTTTTTTTATTTTTGTACTAAAACTCCATTTTAGAAAGCAATAAAAAAACTGTCTCAAACGAAGCCTAGGTGGCGTTAGTGGTGGATTAAACTATGAACTAAATTAGTAAATCTTATTTCATTTGTTGATTATTGTCCTTCCTTGCTTCCATATTAGCTTACATATATCACTCAAAATTTATAATTTTATCATCCACTTTTTCAACCATAAGCTTCTAGTTTAGGCATTTATAATCCCTAATATGCTATGTGAGATGACATAATTAATACTTTCTCATATGATCCAACACTATATAACATGCCTTTTCAATTTTACTCATCAAATATCCTATTTTCATATTGAAGTCTTTGATAGCTGAGAAAGACTACCTTCTCTAGAAGACTAACTATATGTCATCTTCTTCAATTGTGAATAATGCTCTTATAAATTTATAATTATAATTATGATCAAATGATGACAATTTAGTATAACTCATAAGTAAATAGATTTATACATATTAAACTTTATCTATTAGAATATTTTTGGACCAGTACTAAATCATCACTTCACCTATAATGACTTTACAGATGTGAAACTTAGATAAAATTAGTTCCCGTTCTATAAAATTTTCTTATGATAGCACATACAAAAAAAATTATTATACTTATGCATTAAAACAATTTCATTAATTTTTATAAAAAAACTCTACTTGACGTCCTTCTTTTATGCATTGTTATAGGAATGGAGAATCCAATGTAAAAAAGAAAAGCCCAATTTTTCATAGTCAGAAGTTCCCTAATTAGGACATTAGTTTTCTAAATAAGTCTATATAAATTGATTAGCATGATCAGCATTTTCATAATTATAAATAAGAAATAAACACATAAGAATTTAATTAAAAATAATTAAATAAATAATGATAAAATGATGCATTACATAATGTTATCGTTATGTTCTTCTTTTTATCTATCAACCATGTCATTAGAAATTGATTTTTCTTCTTCATTATTATGATACTCCATCTCATCATTATCTATGAATCCAAGGTTAAAATTATCCTCGATCTCTTAACGACTAGCTTCAAATGTCTTATATAGTTAAAATTAAATAATTATCAACATTGAGTTTTAAATGTAACAATGTCTTCCTCTTGATAGACAATATCATAGTTTAATAGCAGAACATCATGGTTTAATAACACCAATGATATGTATTATTATTGCCAATTTCTCATCCTTTAAAAGTACCATGCAAGGATCAATATTTTATAAAAAGTTATTAGAATTTTATTTTCATGAAAAAAGAGTAGAAAATATTGTAAACAATTAAATGAGTTCTCATAATCAAGAAAACTTTCACTATTAATTTTGTTAAGATTTTTTTAACATCTCTGTTTCATCATTTATAGATGGTCATTGATCGCTGGAAGACTACCAGGTCGAACAGATAATGAAATAAAAAATTATTGGAATACAACCTTAGGTAAGATTGCAAGCTTTCAACATCAACCACATCAGCCAAGCCGCCCAAGCATCATACAAAGGCCTCCTGCTTCTAATCTCATATTTCCATCACCATCATCTTCAACACCATCACAAGCTACAAATAATGATAAAACTTTAATCCGAACAACAGCCATAAGGTGCAATAATGTGATTATTCCAATGCAGCTACCATCTTCTTCAACAAGCAAGAAGGATATCCCAAGCATGCAATTAGCAGAAGAGTCAATGGCTAAGGTGGCTAGTGACATGCCCAAAAGTAGCAAAGTTGGTCCCATGGTCGAAGAAGAGCTTTTTAAGGAATTTTTTCAGTTGGATGAGAATATGGTTTTGAACTACAACAGCTTCGATGATGACACCAATGTTGCATTTCCTACACAGGCGAGTGTAATGGAGTTTTAAGGATTGCAGGATTTTGAGACCTGGATGCTGAATGATGAGGATGTTGATTGCCTTCCTGATGATGATCAAATGCAATTGTTAACCTCTTTATTTGATCTTGGAGGTGGATTCTAGGGACAACTCATTTATTATTTATTCTTGAGTTACATGTTGTTGGTTTATCATAGTTTTGTATGTGATAATATCAATGTTCAGTGAGGCTTCTAATGTGGCTAGGGATGAAATTGTGAAGGGGTTGAGGATAACTCTATCCTTATTCAATTTTAGAAATATATATATATATATCTATATAGTAATAGACTCTTAATTATGTCTGAATCATGACTGAGCTTAAAATAAAGGTACACATTGATGAATAAAAATGCATTTCTTTTAATTGTTTTTATGAGTTTGTAAGCTCTAGTTAAATGGGACAATTGCTTAAAAAGAATGATACAATTTTTCAAAATTTTGATTTTAGGGCGTGACAACAGCGGTGGGGGCTGATGATAGGGATGCCATGTGACGATAGGTTGCCGAGGCGGGTTGTCGGTGGGTACGAGTGGTCGACAACGCGAGTGGCCTATGGTAGTGGCGAAGAGGGGTTGTTGATGATAGATGGCAATGGGGGTGGTCGTCAGTTGATGCGGCCGACAACGATGGGGTATAGTACAGGGCAGCAACAATGGTGATTAATTTATGGTTATTTTGAAACAACCCAAATTTAAAGAATTTTAAATACACAAAACAAATGAACTATATAGTAAATTTTGAATACACCAAAATTTTACAATATATTTATTTTACTTCAAACCAAGCAGCCCCTCTTTTATATATAGTATGTGAAAATTATGGAAAAAAAATTGATATATCTTCATAATGCATATTCTTTTTAATCTATTTATAAGCTGTATAATATATACATTCGTATAAAATAGTGCTTTTCCAAACGGTTATGACTTATAAGTGCCAATAATTTAATTGATAGAGAAATTTTGAATATTATTGTAAAAGAAATTCATATTTGAACCTTACATTCACAATTATAAATTTATGTTTTGATCATTTAAATAAAAATTATAACTACAAACATGTTCATATAAGCTTCAACTATGGCTGAATAGAAGAAGAGTAAACTTTTATTTTTTATTTATATGATAGATCACTTCATCAGAGTAAAATCTCGCATATTTTTCACATAAAAGTTTTAATATCTCCTGTATTTCTTTCTGTTATTCAGAGGAGTAGACTGCCCTTTGGATAAATAAGATAAATATTTTTGCACCTTTTACTGTTAAACAGGCAAATTAGTGGAGAAAATAAGATAAATATTTTTAAGTGGTATGCATGTAATTATTCTATCTTCTTCGTATTATGCACGTTGCAATCAAATAATACTGATAAATAGTACTGCCTATAACAAAAATTTAATGAACTTTGTCCCATTACATGTGTTGGACTGCATGCAATTGTCAATGTAAAAGTAGTATAGGGACTTAGCGGTGGGCCCCTTCAAAATAATAATATCATTCTGCTCAAATAAATTTATACTTAACATTGTTGTGGACTAGAAAATACGCGGCGATAGAGATTTAATTCCGCGTCTTAACGTTGTACGGATAACTAGCTCACACACAAAGAACACAAGATTTTTTAAGTGGAAAACCCTTAAAAGGGGAAAAACCACGAGGCCTAGCCCAATTGAAAATGATTCCACTAGACTTTGAATCGGTTACAAAGGACTGAATCTCCTCTAAGGGCGATCAGATTTACAATTAGTAACTATTCGATAGGAGTCAGGTATTAGACCCAATGTCACTTGGAAGTTCGGGTGTTGACAGTCTGGCCTTGAGCAGAACAAGGGGCCTTCAGCAGAACGTCGTGTCTTAAACAGGATGTTGGGTCTTCAGCGGGACGTCGGGTCTGAACGTCGGGTCTGAGCGTCGGGCCTTAAGCAGAGTGTCGGGTCTGAACGTCGGGCCTGAACGTCGGGCTTTAAGCAGAGTATCGGGTATGAGCGTCGGGCCTTAAGGCGGTGGTGCGATGAAACTCCGGTGGTGGTCCGGCGAGGATCCTGCAGTGGTCCGGCGGTGCTCCTGCGGTGATCCGGTGGTGGTCCGGCGGCTGTTGAGGAGGATCTCCTTCCTTCTCTTCTTCCTTCTCTTCTCTTCTTCTCTATCTTGATTGGATCCTCTCTTGAGAAGAATGAGGGCTATATTTGTAGATTTTCTGGAGTGGCATAGCTCGTAAATAGGTGTGAGATCAAGGGAAAATAGGGAGTGGTTTGAATGGACGGCCGATAGTGAACCCTTCAATCGTGCACCGTTCGTTGGACATTTGGAGGCCTTAGTGATTTTGGAATTCGGTGATTTTGGGCTCGTTGGATTCATCTCGTCGAGCCATTTGATTTGAGTATAAGCTCGTTAAAATCGGAGAACGTTTGGTATCTCAAATTGCGGTTTGAACCTTCCAAGAGCGCTTCGGGTCCATGATTCGGACCCATTTGGACTCGGATCGAGTTGAATTTGGTGTCGTTGGGTTCGTATTTCCGAGACGCTCAGTTCGACTGTAAGTTTGCTGAAATCGGAGTTCGTATGGTCTCCGAATTAATTTTTGAAGTTTTCAATTTTGATTTTGCATCGAAATTCGCGCCCAATTAAGATAATTTTTTAAGACGTATCAAATATAAATTTTTAATTTGCATGTCACTTTGCAATATTTCTTTCTTGTATTGACAAACCACATAAAAAGCTTTGTATAAACTTCAACATAAATTAAAGCATAGAGAGAGAGAAAATAAAGGAAAAATAATTATGATAATATAATGCTATTTCGACGTGATAAAAAAATAGGATTCAAAATTTTATGATGATTTTATTGACATACAAGAAGTTCTTAATTTGAAAATATTTTAAATAGATGATTTTTTATTCCTTTAATTTTTCTTATTGTTTCTATTTATTTTTTATTTTTTATTTTTTTTTTTTGGGAAAGAGATTAAAGTTTCATTTGGGACAAATTCCTTATTACTTTGTTTTTGAGGTCAGAGTCATAATTTTTATTTGGTCAGTATTTTTTTATTACTTTCAAAAAAAAATTTTTACTATGAAAATTACTTTCTATTATAAAAAGTTAGTTTATCTACAACGGTTTTATGGAACAGTAAAAAAGTTGTACTAGCGTAATGAAGCTTAGGAATCTAGTTAGGATAACTTTCATACCTTTTAATTTGCTTTTTAGATAATAATTATATTTTTTATTTGACTATAAATTTTTTTACTACTTCTAAAAAAATTTTATGCTGAGAAATTATTTTTAATAATAGTTTTTAAAAAGCTAACATGTATTTCATTTTTTTAAAAAAGTTCTTAAGTTATTTTTTTAATAATTTATTAGAAACAATCTTAATTAATTTTTCAATAAATTGAGTTATAAAAAACAAATAATAAATAAGAAAATTTTTTTTTTTTTTCTGAAAATTTGAGAAAGCCCGTAATTAAAAGAAAAACAATTACCAAACATGCTAGCTGAATTCCGAATAAAAGAAAAGCAGCATTAAAACCAAAGACATGAAAAGAAAACAACCCAACAACAATCTTGAATTACAGCAAAAAAACGTAAAAGAAGGAGCGTCAGACAAAAGGACAAAAGGAGGACTCAGTGAGTAGCCAACAATCAGTCATCAGAACATCAGGAACGTAGATATGGCAGAAGCAGCACTGATAAGAGAGAAATAGGAAAGCCCAGGTTGCCACGGCCCTGGGCCAGCCAAGTCAGGAAGACGGATGGCACGAGTCGGGGTTTCAATTTTGGGTTAAATCCGGAACTCACTCGGGTTCAAACGGGTCAATCCTAACCTGACTGTGTATGTTAATGTGTCGAAATTGAGACCCGGACTAGACCCGCGGTTGCCGGGTTGACCCGACCAGACACGGAACGCACGGGTGCGCTCGGCGGGCGTGAGTGAGTGCGCTCGACTAGTACGTGCGAGCGCACTCGGGCGCGACTAGGTGCATGCGGGCAGGCGCCGGCGCGCTCGGGCGCGTGCGCTGCAACCTCGAGCGCGAAAGGCCTCGGCAGGCCCTGGCGCGGGCTGGCAGCGGGTCGGCCTCGGCAGGCCCGCAGGCGGTGGGCTGACAGGCTCGGTCTCGTGTGCGCATGCGCGGGCAGCTGCTTTAAACTGGTTAGCGGGTTGACCTGACAACCTGACGGGTCAACCCGACGGGTCAACCCGACCCTGACCCGTTTTGAAATCGGGTCGGGTCAAACCCAAAAATTTCAAGTCGGATTTTCGTGTCGTGTCAAATATTAACACCCCTAGGCACGAGAGCCGCATCTAAAGGCTTCAACAGGGACGCCAAGTATAAACCAATTTCATAAGCAAATGACAAAGAGTTTGATACAATCATCGTAGTCCAAGCAAGCAAAACCTCATATAGAACAAAACTGAACCGAGAAAGCAACAGTGACGCTAACGAAAAATGTCAAAACACTTAATAAGCTGATCTATGCAATTCCAGCGCAAAGACTTTAGTTGAATAGCATGCTTAATGGTAAATTTAATAACGGATGGGCTGACCCAAGAACTAGCAAGCCTACGATTGTTTCTTTCCCTCCATAAGTAATAAATGGCGATGCACACAGTTAGGAAGCAAATATTCTTATCAAATTTGTTTAACTACTGATAATTTTCCAAAAAGATTAGCAAACTTTAACTTTTTCATAATGGTCATCCACGGATAAGTGGAAAATCTCAAAGAATGATGCTTATGACAAATAAATTTATGCTAATGAACTTCCTCCAAATTAGAGTAAAACTCACATGTAAAACTTTTAAACGTAGGATTGCATGAGCCTTCTCAGGACAATGTCGGTTGCTCACAGATAGGCATTGCAAGCACAACCGCATAGATATTTTCTTAAAGAGAATTTGGGAGGGACGTCCATTGGTTGTTTATAATATATTTGTTAACATCCTGGTGGAGAAGTCTGGTAGGGTTGTCAAACTCATATAAGACTTTGCCATTACACTATCGGTCTCATAACATAGAGAAGTTGCAGTTGGAAGTGATAGAAAGGGAAAGCATTTTTTTTTCCTTGACAAATAAGTATATATACTCTCAGTCTCCGACAAGTACACATGTTTGATAAAGGAATAGTCTAAGGAAATACTTGGTGCTAGTTATCTTAGGTGTAGATTTTAAAAATTATTACCAAAATTTTGCAATGTAATATTTTTTCCAACATTTAATTTATCATAAGTAAAATATATACTGAAATTAATATGTTTTTTATCAATATAGGCCTATCAGAAATATATAGAAAACTGACATTTATA